CATCAAATTGTGCTATTAAGATTCTTTAGCAGTCACAATTGTAATGAATAGCTTGTACTGTAAACATTCAATTCTAACTGATTATTATTCATCTCAAAAAGATAATTATTATAAGGCTCTGCACAAAACTGATTATATTAAATGGTATGCAAAGAGAAAATATTTGTATACATACATTCATATATAAAACCTATTTGCTATATAATCATGAGTATTATTGTCATTAACATGAAACTTTTGGGGAAGCTATAGGAACTTTTTCCTTTTTAAATTTACTCTTTATTCATTCCTATGTTTGAAAAAGAAGTCAACAGTAAATAAATAAATAAATAATAAAGTACCTTCAAGTTATATTACAAGAAAAGATTCTTCCTATCTGATTTTATATAAAGTGGCATCTAAAGCAAACCCTCTAAAAATGAGTGTCCACTTTCTCTAGTGTAAAAACATAAATGTATTGTGGCTGGCAGGATGATACAGATAAAATAGACAGGGTGCATTAAAAGAAATTAAGAGCCAAGAAATCAGATACGTTCAAATCAGCCTTCAAACCTACTCCAGCAGCAGGGATAAATAATTTAATAAACTCAACTTCATATTCTTTTTCTTTCTCTAACGCAATAAACAGATATTAAAAAAATAAAAGTTTACATTCATTAATAGTTGTGTGTAGAATCACAACTATTATATAAGAAGAGATACAAAGAAATTTCAATATAAGCACTTAACGTATGTGCTTGTACATTCTAGCTAACCTATACTTTTTTTCCACATGAAAGAACGGTATTGCTGAAATTTATGATCTGGCAACTGAAATTTTCAAATTAGGTTTACTGAAACACAGAATCCCTGTATTCACACATTTTTCAACACAATTGGGCTTTTTGGCTAATAAGACTGCTTAAGCAATACATTTTGAAATGTCTAAATGTAAAATGCGTTTCCAGCAGATGTGGTAGTAGTGGGTAGACCTAAGTAATTAGGAAAACATACCTAGAAAACAGTAATTTGGGAAAACTTACCTCTCTTTATTTCATAGGCCTCCAACTCCTAACATCACAAATGATCAATCATCATTTTAATGAGATGATTTTAATCTCACTCTTCCAGTATAAATCATTATCTCTAAAAATGAAACTGAGTGACAGAAAAACCCACTCTATAGTTTTATAATTTACTAAAACCATTTTAAATTTAGGATTGCAAAGTGAACAAACTCAGATAAATGCTCAGAAAACATTCCTAAAATGAACAGATTTTACCATGCCAACAATTAAAGGGTTCAATTCCTTCATTCATGGATAAAACTTTACAGTGGTGCAATGAAATTAATGGCAGGCTTTAGTAATAAACGCAACCTATGTAACATTCAATTTTATGTTTTTGCATATTTGCAATAATCACCAAAATGCAACTACTAAACATAATTATATAAATTGCTCACTTGCTTTTAGGTAAACCTTTATATTTTATTTTAAAACTTTTGATTCAGGAAAGATACAACCTTAATTTTTTAACAGATTGTACTAAATAATTAGCAAATTAGCACACTGGCTGAAAGTTCAAGAAATTATTTTGTTTTTAGAAATAGCAAAAATCTCTCTCTCTCTCTCTCAAATATAACTTTAATTTAACTGAATTAGTTGGCAGATGAACTAAATTAAATGGAAGGACTTTGGAGTATGTGTCATCTCCCCAGAAAGCGGCAGTTACCATGACAAGGATGGAGGAAAACACATGCCTTTGTCTGAAGTGTTTAACTTTCGGTTTTAAACAATGATGATGTCTAAACTCCACCGGAAGGATTTATTTTTTAATTGTGTGGAAACAGAGTCAAACAAAAACGAAGTCAATTATTTTTACATTTTCAATATCTAAAAGATGTCACTGTGTCCCACGCCAGCCAGGATTAATATTTTGGGGCAGCTACTTAGTAACAGTGATAACAGATCTGCCTGTGTTCTTTTGTGCTGGTTATTGTCAGATCCAGATGCCCAATGGGGGAACGAGATGGAGTAAAAAACAATTCAGCAAGTTCATTTTTCTTACTAAGGAAATCGCCGGGAGCTGACTTCACTTTGTCGGAATAGGTCGACTTGGCCTACAAATTTCCCTGCAGCTTCGCACCGGGCTTTTTCCCCCTTAAGTACCAGAGACAGTTAAAGAGCACTCAAATGCACCAAAAAAAGCCTGCCTACGGTTTCACTTCGGACCCGCTCCCCCTCCGATTCAAGTCAGATTGGCCACTGTCCTCAACGGAGCTGGATTGGGCCTTTGGAAGCAATTAGGCAGAATGGAGCGTCTGGGAATCTCCCCCACCCCCAAGCATGTCTGTGCCTGTTCCCGCTGCAGCCTCTGTTCACAAGAAGCTCTCCTGGGAACCGATGGGGGTTGACCTGAGCGAGGATGGGGTCCTCCATCCGTGCAGCCGGGTCCACCTGGCCACATGTGGATTGTATAGCCAATACACATGGGGGGTGGGGATTGCGGCACATGCACCGCTTGCATTACCCTTACTGTGCATAAAGACCTCAGGCTTCTTCGTAATAGCGGGGTGTTCTCTCTCCCACGCACACAGCTATGAGTTACATTGGCGCATTAAAGTTGAAACCCTACATATTAGTGACAGGTTTCAGAGTAGCAGCCGTGTTAGTCTGTATCCGCAAAAAGAACAGGAGTACTTGTGGCACTTTAGAGACTAACAAAGTTGTTAGTCTCTAAGGTGCCACAAGTACTCCTGTTCTTTCTACATATTAGTGGAGGGGCTAGTAGCGCCGAGGGGAGAGGCGAATACACAACCACCGCCACCAGGATGCGAACGGGGGGAACTAAACATAATCGCAGCAGGAGGCAGCGATGATCAGAAAGCATCTTCTGCCCCCTGAATTAGGCCAGGGCATGTACCAGGGTGTGGGGAGGGCAGAGGGGCGACCGCGTGTGTGGAGAGGAGGCGCGATACATTGGTTTGTGATGTGAGGGATGAACTGGGGGCAGCTGAACGACCCATTCCCTGGGCTGCAGTAGGCGGCAGCTCCGCTCCCGCCTCCTCCACTTGCAGAATGAGCTGCGCGCCCCCCTCCCAGGCCACAGAGCCGCAGCAGCGTCAGGCTCTCGGACCCGGGAGAGTGGCCTCTTGGGGATTTCTTATTTTCAAAGCGCAGTTGTTGAGAGAGCACCGGGGCAAAGCATTTTGCTCCCAAGCTATATGGCTAAAACTGGAAATAATACCCAGCCCGCTCAGCAGAGGGTCAGAGCCTGCCTGCTCACCAGCCCGGTTTTCGTCCCCTGGACATGACACTTTGGATGAAGTGAAGAAAGCTGAAGAATATGGAAAGTAGCTATCCCTTATAAAAATAGCAAGAACGTGCTGCGGGCACATTAGGATGCGGTTGAGAAGGGGAAAGCCACTTAAGGGTGAGCTGATGTCTGCTGGGATAGGAGTCTACAGACAACCCCGGTTTCATTTTATTCGTGCGTAGAAAGTTACAGACGCCCACCAAATTCTTCATCTGGATTAATAGTCCCCGAAATACAGGAGCGTCTGCACTAACGCTACATCGAGCAAGCAAAGCACAAAACAAACTCTTCTACACCTTTGATACAAACTTTGCCGCATTAATAGGTTAGTGACGGGAAAACGTTAATGGCACGTAAGACATCTCTCTGCAAGACGATAGATGTTTCTTAGAAAATAATTTCAAGGGCCAGTAAATTTAAAAATTAAGAATCTGAGTAATAAATTACAATTTCTTAAAGACACTAGAGGAAAAAGCGTGTGCTATGAATATAAACCTTGTTTCTTCTTAAAGGAAAGCACGGAAGATGCTGCGAAATATGTTTGTCGTTCCAATATTTGCAAACAGGAGGACCGATTACTGAAACTTAAGATACTAAAGAAGAAATTTGTTTAATTATATATCACACACACGAAAACCCAAACTGGCAGATTACTTGTCTACCAGCATGTCTGCACTCGCTAATGTCCCTCCCGTGTGCACATTTATTAAAACACAGCTTGCAAATAGAGTTCACATTAAAATAGACTGTCCAGATAAGAGGAAGAATAGATATTTATTTTGCAACGATGTCCAGAAAGGCATCTGAACATATAGGGCGTTGCACTATATTGGAGACATATCCAATATAAAGATGAAGCTAAGCACTAGTAAACAAGATTTACACTAAGTATCTGCTACTTCTGAGACGGAATATGAAAATAAACTGTTGGATGCGTTTAGCAAGATTGCCTTCATACGTTACAAATATATATTTTAAAAAAACAGGCAGAGAGAATGCAATATCTGCATAACCTTAAAATCGATTATACCCCGTCAGAACATGCTTTAAAACAATTTAATTAGCGGGTGCTGTGTAATATTTTATTCCTGCAAACACTACATTGCCGAGAATCTATGGGCTTATACACTGGCCAATTCATGAGAGGAAATATTCTGACCTGCAATTACAGACAACTATCAGGAGAAAAGAACACCATGATTTGACGCCAAGAGCGAGTTAATGAATTTACGTATCTGTTCTTTAAAGAGTAAAGCCCCGTATATAGCTCACTAGTTGATGGATGTCCATTAATACACCTGCATTCACATTTCAGCCTTAAGGAGACAAACAAAGATTTAGTGCAGAACACCACAGTTTTGCCAAGTCCTTTCAAAACATCAGTACACTTCAAGTTACACCAAAAAGCCAGAGATTCTTCTTGATTTCCAAATGTATAGGTGGCTTGGGTGGTTTTCTGCCAGCAGCCGCCTACCTTTAGTTGGTGTGTACATATATACATGTATATATAGCCAAGAGACGGATTAATTAGCCGGGTTTGAGCTGAAGGAGGCTGCAGTGACGAGACCAGTGGCGATTGGCCGCCCGCCTGCCTGGCCCTGCCTTTATAATTTCCACACGAGAGCATCTGGGCTCTTATACTAACCAACAGCCAGCTTCTCCTTACACACATACACACACACACCGACACCCTGCACTTTTTCCACCATCTGATTAACAACCCTGCACCCACACAGTGATTTCTACAGGAAAACATAAATACATACGAAGAGGGTTTATTATTTTGACTACTGGAAGCCTTGCTGTGTCTCAGTTCAACTTTTGTTTTTATTGCTGCTGGGGAAGTGCCGATCTCAATGCTTTGCTCTCACTCAATGATCCTTTAAAAAAAGAAAGGAAAGAAAAATATCGCTCCCCCCTTGGAGGCGGCTGATCTCAAAAGGCAGGAAGAGAGCATCTGAGCAGCAGTTGCCACCGCGTATTTTGAAAGACATTTGTTACGTTTCAGAGCGCTGCAGCCTGTTTCCCCTCTGAAGTTGGCTCCAGCCTTAGCAGCCGCATTGGATCCCACAGCTTATTGCGAGACTCCGGTATACAATCCGGATCTCTGCCCCAATATGATCGCGGCCCAGGCCAAGCTGGTGTATCATCTGAATAAATACTACAACGAGAAATGCCAAGCCAGGAAAGCCGCCATCGCCAAAACTATCCGAGAAGTCTGCAAAGTGGTTTCGGACGTACTAAAGGAAGTGGAGGTGCAGGAGCCTCGTTTCATCAGCTCTTTGAACGAGATGGACAACCGCTATGAGGGCTTGGAGGTCATTTCTCCCACAGAGTTTGAAGTGGTCCTTTATCTGAACCAAATGGGAGTTTTCAACTTTGTGGACGACGGCTCTTTGCCGGGCTGCGCCGTGTTAAAGTTAAGCGATGGGCGCAAGAGGAGCATGTCCCTTTGGGTGGAGTTCATCACGGCATCCGGTTACCTTTCTGCTCGCAAAATCCGGTCCAGATTTCAGACTCTGGTGGCCCAAGCCGTGGATAAATGCAGTTACAGAGATGTGGTAAAGATGGTGGCTGACACGAGTGAAGTGAAACTGAGAATCAGAGATAGATATGTCGTGCAGATCACTCCGGCTTTTAAATGCACAGGGATCTGGCCAAGGAGTGCTGCCCACTGGCCACTTCCCCACATCCCCTGGCCGGGACCCAACAGGGTAGCAGAGGTCAAAGCTGAAGGATTCAACCTTTTATCCAAGGAGTGTCACTCTCTAGCAGGCAAGCAGAGTTCAGCCGAGAGCGATGCCTGGGTGTTGCAGTTCGCAGAAGCGGAGAACAGACTGCAGATGGGCGGCTGCAGAAAGAAATGCCTCTCTATCCTCAAAACCTTACGGGATCGTCATCTGGAACTGCCGGGACAACCCCTGAATAATTATCACATGAAGACTCTGGTTTCATACGAGTGTGAAAAGCATCCCCGTGAATCGGACTGGGACGAGTCTTGCCTGGGCGACCGGCTCAACGGGATTTTACTGCAACTCATCTCCTGCCTTCAGTGCAGGAGGTGCCCACATTACTTCTTGCCCAACTTAGACCTGTTTCAGGGAAAACCTCATTCAGCCCTGGAAAATGCAGCCAAACAAACTTGGCGACTGGCTAGGGAAATACTCACCAACCCGAAAAGTTTGGAAAAACTTTAGAGGACAATTAAAATATGGGCCTAACCGATTAGTCTTCTGATTTTCAGATAAAGTTTAAACTTCCTGTTCGAAAAGTCAAATATTTCCACTTGAGAATGCTAATATTCTCTTTAAAAGGAATATTGCTTAGGCTCTTCACACACACAGACACACACACTCACAACAACAAACACTATGACATGTCTTCATCACAGTTTTGAAATCCCCCCTGAAAAATATATCTTAACACCCGGAAACAAATTCGGCTGTAATTTAACATGATTGTGACCATTCTGCCTAGAAACGGCACCAATGGATTATAACAAAACCCGGTATTTTTATGTAAATCCCTCTGTGAGTAAAAGCTATTTGGATATGCCATCTGAACAAAACCCTAATGTACATTTTAATTTGTATCAAATATTGTGATCTCACATTGTCTTTGAAATTGTGGATGTTGGTGTTTTGTGATTTGGTGAACAGAAGTTAAATTGCCATTTCGGATACTTCAGGACATTTTCTGCTAAAGAAGATACCATTTAAAAAGGTAGATTTTATCATGGTACTTTTGTTAATTGTCTTTTGAAGTGTCTGAACTTAAAAGTTTACATTTTTCGTTTCATATATATTGCTTGTTCTATTTCTAACATTCCATAAATATACTTGAAATGTTATTTAAATATATTCAAAAGAAATTTGGATTCTGCTTATATAATAACGCTTGAATATTGGAATTATATATTTGAAAAATGCACTTGAAATACACTGGATAATGACTTTTTGTGATTTAGATTTTAATTTCTGTTGCTGATTTTATTTAATTACAAGCTAATAAATGAAGTAAAATAAATATTGTTAAGCGTTTCAAAACTGCATCAAGTTTTCTATTTGAAAATCAGGCCAATGTAATGTTTTGCAAATCATAAAGGAGCAGCCCTTTTCCTACTGACTAGTTTTGTAGGAGAAAAAAATGTTGGTGTATCATATGCACCACAATTTCGTGTGGTAATTAACGGAGCAACACTTTCTACAGGCATCAGAAAATAAATTTACTTTTGAAAGATTCACTGTACTGTACTAGGTTAATGTTTCTGCATGGTTTTGAACAATACTGAGGAAACAAAACAGCACTGAAGCAAAGGCTTCTGAAAGAGCAATGAGTCTGATTCCTGACAAAAATCAATATTTTGGAGCAAGTAGTAATAAAGAAGAAAGCAAAATTTACAGGTGAAGGGGTCAAGCCAGTAGCAATAAAATGAAGAACAATATAACTTCCGACCTACAAATCCACTATGGATGTAACAAGATTGCAAGTTGCATCTGTAGAAATCAACTCCCTGTGTTCAGAGGGTATTCAGAGAGAATAGCATGTGCACACCCATAAAACTGTAAGTGATCACAAATTGTCTGTTCATATTCCAGCATATGATTATTCAGAACGTATATTTCCTTAAAGTATTTTAAGATTAAAATACAAAATAATATACACCAAAAATAGCAACGTATATAATTTACTTAGTATTTTAATAGTCAACAAGTGCTGAACTAGGCAAATTGCCGATATAATGTCCAGTTGTAAGAACTCATAATGGGTAAGTATTAGTGAAACCATTACAATGGCTATTGTGCAAGAATCTTTTTTTATTTAGTCCTACGAGCAAGTTCCTCAATGTCAGAAATTATTCCTCAATAGAAAACCCACTTTATTAAAACACGTTTTCAAAAGTGATAATTGCATTTTTTAAAAGTTATCATTGGAAATCATTTACAGTGAAGGTCTTTTTGAAAGAAACAATATTGGAGTGACTTTAAAAGTATCTCCTGTTTTTTCTCCCCTACTTATGAAACTTGTAAAATTATTTTGTGAATGTATAGAGAATAAAAAGCAATAATAAGTATAAACTACATGTCAGAAAGGTGACCTATAGATCTCTATAACAATCCCCCACCACATGTATGCTCGACTTTAAAAAAAATCGGATTCAAATTTTTATTCTCAACGCTAATACAGGTCAAATATATGTAAATCGTTCTTAAACTGATTGGATCTACTTCTCTTGCAGATGTCAACGTGTTTCGTAATATTAAACAATGCAAAAAATTAGATATTTCCCAAGAATCAGCTCTTGTGCTCAGGCCCACGATAGCCATTTTCTTTTTCAGAAAGAGACTATTAATTTCAGTATTTGAACAGATAACATTTATTAAAACATGCAGCATTTTCCTATTTGGAAACTAACGTTCTTGAAATAAAGGGATTCTATAAAATCCACTGCAAGAGAAAAGCCCATCACTGTGTCTTAGGGGACCGCAGTCTGGGACCGCTGTTACCTCAAGGGATTTCAGAGCAATTGGCTTAACTGCTAAATCTGCCCATGTTCATACAAAGGCATTCAGAGAAAGATTGTTAAAAATGTGCACGCTGTAAGTAATAGAGGATTTGCCGTCATTAATACATTTCGCTTTTTAATAAAACACAGTAAAAGCCCACAGGAGTAAGAGGCGTTTGGGGGGAGGAGGGGACCTTCCGCACCCTAGGATGTGCGTTCCGATTATGTTCTCCGGGCAGTGTTTAACATACAAATCGCGTTCAGACAATGCAGACTGTAAACACACCCAGCCCACGAGGTAACGCACTCTACTCACTTTGGGGTCAATCTTCTTGAAGGCCGGATCATCCTCATCCACCTCGAAGTAGATTTCCGTGGTGGTGATGGAGAGGGTACCTTTGGCCACTACAACAGGGGCGATGAGCTGTGCCGGCGTGCTGAGAACCACCGGGCCTGCAAGACAAGGGCAGGGGCGTCAGGCCGTAGCAACTCCTGCCGGCCCTCCCCCATTCCTTACTGAATGCAGGCACCCAACAATCCGCCTAATAAAGTCCATTTGTAAGTTGCTTTATGTCTTTCTTGCCAGTGCTCACCACTCTGCTCTCTCCTGAATAGTCTGACAAGAGTTTGTGAGCGGTAGGGTGAGACTCCGAGATGAATCAATGACCAAAATTCAGGGGGGGGGGGGGGGCTAGAATGAAAAATTACTGCCCTCAGAAGCGGGTTCCTTCTCCTTTCGTGACCCTCTTATTCCTGATTAACGCTAACACTGTTTAGATACAGGAGGTTGCAAGTAGCAGTGACACGTTACATATAGTTCTCAATAAACAGGGTCAGCCGGTTCAGGCGAAGGGAGTCCCAAAAGCTCATAGTTTCCACAAAGTCTGGGGATTCATCTCTAGCTATCTGCGCTTCCCTGGGAAAAGCAAATACAGCCGTCTGTACTTTTATAGAAGCCGAAAACATTCCCTTTCATTAGTGTTAACTCCGAGTCTACAGCTTAAATCAGAAGACATCACAAAAGAAAAACAAATAGCCACACGTGATGTCTCCAAAAGCAGCACCCAACCTTTTATACCTTTCCAGCAAGATTTTTATTTCAGTGTCTCATCGCTAAGAACTTTAAAAATAATGTTACCAAAACATTTTACACAAAATATAATTCTTTGCGAGCCGTGTGTGTATTGAGGAATGGGGGTGGGGTAATTTGTAGTCTAACTGCCAGCCTTTACGGCGCACTGTGGGAGGTTTTAATTTTAGGAAATCATTTCTGCTTTAATACAAAGAGGCACTGATCTTTAATCCGAATTCAGTAAATCTGCCGTTAAACTGCTAATGTGATTTAGGAAGCTCACTTATTTTAAACAAAAATAGATTAAATATAAAATTCTCTTACAGTCCACAACTAACTTGCAGGGGAAATCTATATCTAGACACATGAGGTATAAGTAACAAAGGCTTACTCGACATTTTGGAAACTCAGTGAAACCAAGATATTTTATAGATGCCCCCCTTTAAAAGCTATTCATTTCAATGTAAAAAAAGAAAAAAAAAGATCCTGGTCATATTTATGCAGTTAAAATGTTCTGTACAAAAATCGGGATAGCGTGCAAGTGACCACCAGCCTGCTGTATTTCCAGTTGCAATCCCCAGGCACTGACTAGACTCGCTGGGGTGAGTGGTGTTTCGGCACACAGGCACGGACAGGACAAGCTTTGGGCTTGCTCTGCACAACAGCACCAAGGCTAACAGGCACCGGTAAAATCTTCTCCTCCTCCCACAATATTTGACATACACACACACTTACAATCAGATGGTGTAGGCAACACTTCACATTACTCATTTAGCCCAACTTAGTCGTGTATCAACGCATCTGTCAGGTGAAACACCCAATTTGAGACTGTATTGCACAATGTATTGTCATTTCCTTTGCAAAATAAACGAAGGGGAAGGCACGGATTATTGTGTGTACAAGAGGGAATCTAAAACTCACTGTTTCACTGACAGCTTTCAGCAGCCCAGTGTGGCAGGCTAGATAATATTGATACAAACTCTAGTTTTCCTTCATTTTATTGTTTTCTATCTCCTAATAAACCAGTGTAGCCTCTTGACTCCAGTCAGCTGATGTGAATCACATGCCGCGGGTTTGCTTTGCTCCTGTCCCCTTTTAGCCTCCATCTTCTCTCCGTTATTCTGCTGTGGGAGCCGAGCCCAGCCGAGCCGCGCCGCGCCGCGCCGCTAGGAAACCTGGCCTCTCTGCAAAGGGCAGGGTGATCGATCTGCAACGGCGCTTTAAAGGCTCATCAATCTTAATCTAGGTTGCTCAAGTAATTATGCCCGATTCTGTTGTACGATTACAAGTGGATTTGGGTTTCTATTCCCTAGGCTCCTCTTCTTTGTGTTTATAGAAGGAGGATCTATCTATACGGACAGCAGCTCCCTGCCCTGCAGAACCACTTGCCCTGTTAAACAGACCATTCCCACCCCTCTTTTAACCCTTACCCAACAGTACCACCAGGGCAGCCGTGTTGCCCTCCCTACTCATTATGCTATACACACAGCAATGGGTTTACGGGCCTTTGTGCTAAAAGAAAACTGCGTTAAGATGATGCATATTGGAAACAACTTGATATTCTATCATTTTAAGGAGGCGTTATGGGCCTTACTGAATCCCAGAAGGAAGATCATCTGTTTAATCCAATTACCTCTCTTTCCCTGGTGTTATGTGAATAAAATAAAAACAAAGTTACTAGTATTTAATGGTCAAAAGGCCAAAGCCTATAACCAGAAATCTACAAGGACAATAGGAGAACATCGTGAGTAGAATCCTACGGGTACGTGTGTGACTGTGTGAGAGTGTGTGTATATACACACACACACACACCCGGTGCTACAAGGCTGGAGGGATTCACTTCCAAGACTGTGATTTAACTCAGGGATCAGTGAATTTCAGATTTTTTTCCAGAGAAAGACTCAGAGCTCCTTAAATGATAAAGTGATTTTGACCAAAAAAATAGTGCAGCTGTATTCAAACGACATTCTACATTTGTAGAAACGTAATACAAGTGAGCTATGCAAACACTGTTACGAATAACCGTTATTGTACTTTCTAAGGAAAACGGATACTTTTTATGAAATATTTTTCCTTCCAAAGAGAGGATGAGGGCTTCCTCTGAATAAGGTGTAAGGGATTTCTTATTTTGTTACAGGGAAAATAGATTTTAAAATTCCTGCAGCCGTCTCTCCGCCCTCCCCCTGAAGACGACACAAAATGAAATATTCAGTCTTATTAGTGTGTCATTTTTACACTAGTCCTTTGGAAATCTCCAATTACAACTTCCAATTCCATAGCACGTTTAAGGAGCACTGAGTCTTTTTGTTGTAGCCTTCAGGGAGCAAACCAGCCACTGAGAGAATACGAAATTAATCCACTACAGCTATAGAGAGAGAGGATTATGTTTTAATCCCCTTTGGGACAGCCTCTGGATTTTAAGGATCCGATATTAAAATGTTTACATAAGGCATAATCAAAATACTGCAGATTTTCCATATGGTACCCAGTTATCTGGAAGCTTTGGGTTTTTCCAAAACACAGCCGACCATCTAGTGAAACAATAGCGCGACACACCTGACGCCAGAGTTTGATGGGCTCATTCGGTTTTGGAGAGATAACGAGTTACAGCTACCAATCGAACCCAGTAACAACCTTTGGGATTGGAGAACTGTGCTTTTGGTTTGGAAGCAAATATTCATTTCAAGCATAGTCATAGTAATAAAAACGCGCATAGTAATGAACCCTCCCAGGATATACCAGTATGATATGTGGGGCATTAGGAAGCAGTTACAAAAGTGAATATTGCTAAATCTGCTCCTAATGCATCTTAAACTGCAACTAAAAATGCGATGCTCACACCTGAGCTCTAGAAAGACGGGAACTGTTTTCCTGCACTATTTCACTATACAATTTGGGGATTGTTTATGGGTTCACAAGCCACCACGCCCTGTTACCGCTAGAAAGGCAGAAAAAAAAAAGAACAGTGGAAACGCTTGTCAGGAATTTGGATGCTTAAAAGGACGGAGAATATCTTTTCAAGTATAATTTAGTTGAACATTTCCAACCATTTTGAAGTAGACCGGGGGCCAACAGTGTAACGGAGGAAACGCAACGAACACTTACAGTTAAGTATTCACTTTAGATCCACAGGTTTTTTAATCGGCTCACGTGTAGGACTTTCCGCCTTGTGTGTCCCCTGTGGTAGGCACGTGTGATTTACATTTCTAAAACAAACGATGTAGCGAATATACACTTTTAAAAAGTAATATTTGTTTTTCAAAAGTAAATACTTGTGGGATTGGGCGGTTCCACTGAAAACGCAGAAATCAGTATCTGTTTTTTCCCTTCGTTAACATTTTGATATACAGGGAGTTGGTTTCTTGTATTATAAGGCTAGCAAAGAAGGTCAATGCAAATGAAAAGTTTTACGAGCTGAGGGATAGCTTACAATTTACAAAAACAACATCGATAAAATTACTTCTCTGGAATCTGGCCTTTTATGAAAGCCCAACAAGAGTAACATTCTGAAATATTATCTTAAAGATTTCAGCTTTCTCAGAAGTGCTTTGAGGTGGTTGTTTTTAATGGTAAGAGCTAAAGAGAAGTTGGTGTTTACATTGCAGGTGTATTTGCTAAAACGAGAACGCCCAATAATTCCTAGTGGAAATATGTTTTCAGTGCACCTGTTGGATTATGAAAAAATATTTTCATAGCTGGCACAGTTTTATAATATTAACCTCAACAGGAACATTTGAGAGTTGAAAACAGTAGATAAAGGAAATTTAATTTGTATGTGGGTGATTTAAATGGAAAATCTGGTTTTGTATAACTTCAAAAAGCACGCCTTTTTGTATGCCATTTTAATTTGATGACCTGGTATTACATACATAGTATACAATAAAAAAAAGTTCTGGTAACAACAACAAGAGACCGATTTTATACATATGAAGTAGATTTTGCTATTTTAAAATAAAAATCCAACCTGGTTTTTTTTAAACGTTGTGTTCAGTTGAAAGATGGCATCAGAAACTGTCATTTATCTGAACTGTAAATCTACTATGCTTTTCATCATTTAAGTTCTTTAAATCTAAATGTGCACTTGATCTAAACCTCTCAGAAATTAACTAAAATGTCTAAATACAAATAATAATAATAATTCATGCCTTAATTGTAAAGAGCAAGTAGAGCAAATTGACAATGTCACAATTTAAAATAATTCTAAAACTAGAGATCTGAAATGGGTTCACACTTTAAAATAACTGGTTTAAAATGTGCACTGAAACTTTTTTTTTTAATTTAAAAAGTAAAAAATCCAAACCCAACTATATAATCACAGAATAAAGATAGAAGCAGAAGTAGCTTTAGGCGCCAAATAAAAAATAAGGGAAAGGGATCTGGA